TGTCGCTCCCCCCGCCAGACCCCGTGGCGCTGTGAGCCTGGTCAAGGAGAGGAGCTGTGCGTTTTCAGCCCTGCAGATTGCTGCACTGGCCAAGCAACTCGGAAGTGCCTCACCAGACACCCGGCTGCTAGCCCTCAGCGGCAGGAAAGCCGAGACCCGTCAGGCTGCGCGCGGGGGCCCAGGAAAGTGTGTCAGCGGAGCCTGTCCTTGCTGCACAGCACAGCGCCTCTCCCTCCAGGGCCCTTGGCCTAATTTGGGCCTGTGCCGCTGTCCCCCTGTCCTTCGCCTTCAGCACAAGGGCGCCGGTGGAAACGACGGGGAGGCAGATTTCAAACGGGCAGCGGGGGGGGGGGCGTCCGTCCTCGGTGCCCGTCTGGAAAGGCAGGGGCCGCTTCCCCGAGGAGAGCCGCCGTCAAGGGCGCCAGAACGCCACCCCTGCCCCAGGCAGCGCGCCAGACGGGAGCAGGCCCGGGTGTTTAGGACCGGGTGTTTGCCGGCTCGAGGCCCAGCTGTGCCACCTGGGCGGTGTGGGCGGTGTGAGCTGCTGGCCCGAAATTCCCGAGCTCGCGCCCTGCCCGTCAGCCGGGACATCAGCTCAGGGCACCTCACCGGTCCTCAGACAGCGACCCCACACTTGACCTGCTAGCTCCTGTGCCCTGGTCTCCGCCCTGGACCGATGCAACCGACAGACAAGACCGGGGGGGCCGCAGGAGGACAGGAGGACAGGAGAGCCGAGGACGACCCCCCCCGCACGCGCGTTTGCGCGTTCGCCGGAAAAAGAACTTCTGCTTTTCTTGCGAGTTCCTCAAACTCTTCTCAGAAGACGGGGCTCCTTGAAAAAGACTGGCTTGCACAAGGCTGACCACAGCGCAGACGAAAAGAGAGAAGTGAAAACAGCACTTCTCCCAGATGGGGTCTCTCACGGCCGGGCCTGGACCTGGGCCCACGCCGGCCCACAGGGACCCGCGCCGCCAGCAAGACGAGGGGAAGAGGCCCACGGAGCGTGTTGAGGTGCAAACACCAACACCAGTGTTTATATCGCTGTACTGCCCCGTTAGAAAACCGGAAGAGAACCGAGAAAAGGCTCTGAACCAGGAGTGCAGGAAACCCTTTTACACAAAGAGTTGTGGGTGTGGGGAGCAGGGTTTCCAGTCAGGTGGCCAATCCTACAAGCAGCAGCTGGACAAAATGGGTGCTTAATGACCAAACGATCAACAGCCTCGTCCTCTTTTGCAGTCCTTTATTAAGTTCTGGTAAAACTCCCACATTTCCAATGTTTTCCGGGTTTTTGTTTCAACCCGAGCAGTCGATTAAGCAATTAACCCCATTATTTCCCAAATGAGCCGTATATAGGTCTTTTACAGTCGATGACACAAGACAGTCGCTTCATTGAAGGTTCAGTCACCTGGGAATCACCTCGGCGCGCGGACAGAGGCGTCGCAGTTCTGCAGTTAAACGATTAGGCCGCCGAGAGAATGTGGGTGGAACAGAAACCAGACAAGCTGCATTCCTGGAGGCCTGGAGCTGGGACCAGCCTGAGACATTTTCCACTCCAACACTAACAATCCACAGCAAGGACATGACCAGGCAGAGGGGAGAAGCTCAGGGCTGTCCTCTGTGCTGGCCCGGGACAGGGGGGGCAGGACAGAGCCCTGTCCTCTCTGCTGGGGGCTGACGGGACGGCCCAGTGTGGACTGACTGGAGGAGGACAGTGACTCAGTATCTCTACTCTTCCTCCCACTCCCAAACCTCCAGCTAACGAGCCGACCTCCCCCCCGGACCGTCAACACCGGGGTCAGGGTTCCAGAGGTGCGGGCCGGCCGCGGGGCGGGGGATCGATCCCAGTCTGGGCCCAGAGCGATCAATACCGCGCAGCCGAGAGCCTCCCCAGGCTGAGCTCCGGCCTCCTGCTCCGGCCCGAGCCCTGATCACAGCTCTGCAGCGACCCATGCTCGGCACTGGTGCTGGTACTGGTACCGTGATGCTAATAATAATAATGTTGCTTTATTAGCCCTATACAATTTCTTGCATTAGGAATTCCTCTTTTCACATACCCCAGCTTTTCTCCATGGAGACACAGACACACAGACAGGGAGAGGAGCTTGGGGTCAGAGCGCAGGGTCGGCCATTGTACGGCGCCCCTGGAGCAGCTGGGGTGAAGGGCCTTGCTCAGGGGCCCAACAGAGTAGGATTCCTCTGCTGTTTGCGGGATTTGAACCGGCAACCTTCCAGTCACAGGCGCAGATCCTGAGCCACAGAGCCACAGCTCCGCCCCGCCTCAGCAGTCCTGTTCAATTCAGCAAAGGCGTGAGCCCCAAACTTACACACTAACCCCCTCACTCTCGGGGTGACCTCAGTCCTGTCCCGGGCCCACGGTCCCTGCAGAGCAGAGCCGCCACTGTAATCGCCCCCTGCAGCCCGAGCACAGGGACACACTGCTGCCCCCCCGCGGGGCGGGCGGCTCCACCCGGGACACTCTCGCGAGAGGGGCCCCACGCGTGGAGGAGGGTCCCCGGAGGGCGTGGACGGAGCGACTGTACCCCACCTGCGCAGGTGGGACAGGTGTCTACCTCCGCACAGGAGCGCGCACACGCCAAACGGCTGTTTTCCCAGTGTTTTTAGAGACGCTTACAACAACAAGACGGATCTGGGATCTGTGGCGGGCTGGGAGGTTTAGCAGCTGTCAAACAGAGTGGAAACAGGTCCGCGGTCTCGCTGTCCCACGGACCGAGACACAGGCGGGTGCAGAGCAATTTCCAGGACGGTACAGAGCACAGACCGGCCACACCGTCCCGCGAGGGGGAAGACCCACGCAGGGCTCGGGATCCCACGTACACATCAACATCACCCCCCTCCTCTTCCTCCACGCAGAGAAAGACCCTTTCAGACCGGCAGTCCGACCACGGCGGAGGGTGGAAGAGATTTTAAGAAGCTGAGGAACACGCACACGCACACACGCAAAAAAACAAAACTTCTTGAAACGCCCCGCGGCCCCCAGCCCGGAGCCCACTCGGACAGCGCGACCGCCGCCTCAGCCCAGCCGAGCGGGGGGACCCCGGGACCCCGCCGGACCCGGCGCCCTTCCTCCACCTGGGGACCCGGGAGCGGGGGCTGAGCGGACCGGCACCGCGCCTCTGCCCGCCTGCTTCTGTTTCTCTCGCTTTTGGCGGCGAGTTTCTCGGCCGGAGCCGCCGAACTCTTCTTCCTGTCTCGTCTCGTCTCTCCCCGCCCCGGCCGACACACCGAAACTCCACGCAAGCGGCGCGGAAGAGCGCGACACTGCAGCCCGAAAGTTTCGCTGCCTGCAGATCCGGCGGGTGGGGGCCAGTGCTCTCGCCGCGGCGGGGGGGTTATAAGAGTGGGGAGCCGCCGCTATCGCCTCGCACAAAAAAACCCAGCTCGCTCACCTCTTGCAGCTGTTGGCAGCGACGCCGCGGTGGCCCCGGGTCTCGGCTCGCTCCGCTTCCTCTCTGCGCTCGCTCGCTCGCTCTGCCGCTCTCTCTCGAGCTGCGCCGCGTGCTGGAGGAAGTGTCTCTCTCGCGCTCGTCTCGCGCAGCGGCACCCGCCCGGCGCTGTGACGTCGCTCAGGTGCGGCTCAGGCGGCAGGCGGGGCGCGCTCACTGGCCGGCCAAGGTAGGGGCGCGCTCCACTTGTACTGCCACCTGGGAGGAGGAGGAGGAGGATGGGGGGGGGGGGGGCAGCCCGGGCCGTGACGAGTTTCGGGTTTTCTTCGCTGCAGCTTCTGAGCGTTTCCTCCGGCCGAGCAGATCGCAGGAGCTCGTCGCGATCCCTGCGGGCTGACGCGCTCGCTTCCCGAGACAGTCGAGCGAAAGGTGGGTTTGCGTTCTGGGCGGGTTCGGAGGCCGGTCGGGGACTTCCCGGGACACCCACAGATCCCACCGGTCCGCCCGTCTTCCGTGACGCCCAGGCTCAAACAACAGCTGCCAATGTCTGAAATCCAAACAAAACGTATAAAACATGATGAAACCCCGATTCCACAGGGAACTTGACCGTTCCAAAATAAACAAACGCAGTATAAATGTACACAGTACTGAGCTGGAGCGGAGTAAGAACTGAGAACAGCGGTTCTCAGCAGCTTCTGAGCACAGAGGGCTGTGGGGGTGTGGAACAGGCTGCCCAGCTATGTTTTCCTTCCAGAACCAGCAGGGTGAGATTCTGACCCCTCTGGTTTGCTCTTGCTGTGACCTGAAGCGTCAGGCCAGTGTGCCTGTGTGAGCAGCAGACCGACTTCATTAAGGAAGAGTCACAGATGACAGAAGCCCATCTAGCCCCTTCGGGAGTTACAGAAACGGGCTCTGGACTTGGCTTGTCCCACACTCCACTGAGCTCCGTGTGGAACTCTGTGTTATTTTGTCTGGCTGTGCGGCGCAGCCCAGGAGCTGGACTGGGTCCCCAGCCGATGCCAGGAGGGCACTGTACTGGCTGGACTTGTTCATTCATTGCTGACACTATTGGATGGTCCGGTGAAGTCGTCCGGAGCTCCACTGGGCAGCTGGCCGCTGGGCTGGAGCGCAGAGGAGGTCCTGGGGAGATCGTGGACCCTCCTCGTGCTCAGCCACCAGCTCACTGACCGACTGGCCAGGGACAGAGTGACCCCCGCTGGGGTCCCTGGAGCAGCAGGGGGCGCTGTTCTGGGCCGAGGGCAGCTCCGGCGGGCTCAGCCCCTCTCTCCCGCGGGGGTGCAGAAGTCAAGCCCCAGCACGGGGCAGAGACGTTTTGAAACGAGCGTTAATCTCTTCCGAAAAGGCCGTTTCCGGAGAACCAGCGTGGCTCCTCCTGTTACACTCCGCACACGATCACTCTCCAAGTCTTCCTATAATCCGAGAGCAGTCCTGGTCAATCTCTCGTGTCCTATAAATGTGTCACGCTGAGGAGAGGGAGACTCTGGCGTGTGTATTTAGAACGCAGAGAAAGATTGCCAGGCACAGCATTTGTGACGAAGTTCATTCCTGTCTTCTATGTGAAATATCACTAACTCTCTGCAAACGCTCCACGCGTTGATGGAGCCCACAGGTGCCCGTCTCTCCTCCTCCGCAGAGCTCAGCCCAGTTCAGAACGAGACCTCTCTGATGGCCGAGGAGCTCAGCCTGCACGCCGGGCTGGTCTCTGCAGGCCAGCGACCCGGGAACCCCCACAGTCTGCTCTCCGCTCTCCGGCGCACAGGAGGGAGGTCAGCACGACTCGCCTGAAGATGGCAGCCGAGGGAGCTGGCCCAGCAGGAAGAGCCTGAGCCTGGTCCCGGAGGGCCACGGTCAAGCCGGCCAGCTAGCGGGCTCAGGTGAGGCAGCAGTGTCCAGCTGTGGTCCCCGAGAGAGACAGGAGAGACAGGAGAGGGATTTTCAGCTCACAGGGTCTCTAAACTCCTTCTTGCACCAGGGCACCTGCCTCACTGGTCACAGCCACACCCTCACAGGAGTCTGGGGACTGATGGTTTAGTGGTGACCTGAAGACCCCTGACCCAGGGGCTCCCCAGGACCAGGGCTGGGCACCCCTGGAAGAGACAGACCAGAGAGACGCAACAGGGGGACCAGGGGGGAATGTGATGAGACACTGAAGGTGGGAGGACAGACAAGATGGTGACAGGGGAGAGACACAGGGGACAGCTCTTCTGTCTCGGGAATGTGAACATCTGCACCCCTCCTGACCCGAAGCACAAGGTTGTCCAGGCAGGGATGTGGAGTGGGAGTGGGAGTGGGAGTGGGAAAGAATTCCAGACAGGAGCCTGTTTGGAGAAAAGGCCTAAGATCTGCAAAATCGTAAGAGAGGGCTGCTGGTTTAGAAGAAATAAACAAGTCAACTCATGAGTCCTCCGTGACTCAGCAAGTCCGTGTGTGTGTGTTTATGTGTGTATTGTTCTGGGAACATGACTGAGTTTCGCCACCACCTGGAAGTTATGACAGCACGGGTGACTGTGTACTCTCAGCGCTGGGATTCCCCGCTGGGCTCGGAGCAGGAGAGACCCGCAGGTGATCAGGTGCCTGTCAGCTTGGGCGCGGGGGCGTGGGGGCGCGGGGGCCACGCGGGGCTGAGTCACCACTGCGCCGACAGGATGATCTCAGACTGCAGGGATGGCGTGTGGACAAGCCGCATCACTGTCTTCTGAGGGATTCGCACTTCCTGAACCCGGACTGCAAGCCTGCGTTTCTTTTTTTAATTAATTGTTAACAAAGTTCACACAGCGTCCATCATTAAGGAACAAACAAGACAGACAAGAGAACAAACACACACCAACAGGGAAACCCCAGCATGAAAGGAAACCCTTTACAACATCATAAAGATACAGATCAAGAGATCTCTAGCTTTCTAGTTACATAGCTCTGTCTCCTCTCCAGATCCAGCACAGCTCCCCTCCTTCCTCAGTTTGTTTGCTGTGATCTGCTGATTGTCCTGTACTTATTTTTAATTAATAACCTCTGGCCTTGATGCGGAATGCAGGCACCTTCCTTGTGGGGTCAGGGATCGAACTCCGGAACGGGCAGTTTGAAGCAGCCAGTCAGAGTATCCTGTGTGTCTTTGGAGAGGCGGGAAGGATCCGGAGGGCCTGGAGGAAAGACAGACAGACACAGGAGAACATGCAAACTCCACACAGACAGGTGTGCAGTGCAATAAGCAGCCCAGAGAAGGGCACCCAGATACATTCTGGGGTTTAAGCGACTGTCCTACACTGGGCATTCTTATTGAAGGAAATAAACCTGTTCAGTCTTTAAGAGATAGGAACAGGTTTCACAATCCTCAAAGCCCCTGACAATGTCAAGCCAGCAGATTTCTTCCGAATCAGCTGCTGGCCTCAGTGACTCATGAACCAGAGCACACAAGTGGAAACTCTGTAGAGATGCTTTAAAATCCGAAAACAGGAGGCACGTCTCTACACAAAGGGTTGTGGGGGTGTGGAACAAGCCGTCCAGACGCCGTGGAAAATGCTGACATTTCGGATTCTAGCAGGAACGACTCGGTGGCCTCATCCCGCTTGGAACCTGTCTTGTGTTCTAATGATTTGTGTTAGTAGACGGTGTTGCCGTGTTACAATCTCCATATACAGGAACTGGCTCAAAAACAGGGCTGACCCAGAAATGTCATCAGCTCAGTTTGCTCAAGCCCGGCTGGTACTTCATGTTCAGCTTGTTCAGCCATCCTCCTCCATCCTGTTCAGAGGTAATCGGGCGGCTCTTCTTGGTCTGACCATCGAAGACGTCTAATAACAGAGCGAACGATGTTCTCGCCCGCTGCTGACCCTGTGTGCCCTAAATGATGCTCCCAGAAAGAGGTATTCGTCCCTGCTGCACGTAGGGTCTACCTTCTGATTCCGAAATTAACATTAAAGGAAGGTGTTTTACGCACGCCACACATTTCATTAGAGCAGGTTTAAACCCTTCCCTCTCTCTCCTTTTAAAATAGAAATGCAACACCCTGCAGTGAAGGGCTGGAGCCTTTATTTATCTGCGTGCTTGTTCAGACTCAGGTGGCAGGACAGAAATAGCCCTTCTGCGTGGCCCGAGCGCAGGTAAACTAGGCCAGGCTGTCTCTTCCCCCACTGTGCTGAGCGCGCTGCACTGAGGTGGACTGGGGTGGACTGGGCTGGTCGCAGATCTCTCAGAGCCCCAATCTGCCTTTGTTCCTCCAGGCTTCCGGCTGTCTGTGACAAGCTGCCCAGCCAGGCTGCTGAAGCCGATACCCCGGCTTCTTTCGAAGAGATGGCCGCTTGAGATCCTGGGATCAATGAGCTACGAGCTCCCTAACAGGATAGATGGGCCTCTCTTTCGTGACCTGTCTTGTGCTCTCAGGAAGGGAGGGGCAGCTGTCTCCTCTATGTACGCCTGGACTGGGACTGCTGCACTGTGAGCCCTCCTGGTAGAACAGCCACTGTCGGGCCTCGGACTGAAGAGCTCCGCGGGCCGCCACAGCCCCAGAACCAGTTCCAGACGAGACCAAAACGGGCTCCACAGAGTCCTGCCATCCCATTGAGTCCAACATCGTTCTTTTGCTTAGGTTGTGCTGTAAAATTGCACCAAGAGACATAAATGGCTACATATCCTAATATAGCTTTATAATATTATTGTAATAAAGAACTGCTACCAGATTCTTCCACTGTCACCCAACACTCCTCTGTACTGAACACATCCCTGCCATAAAGAGACACAAAGGAAACCTCTCTTGTCTTCCTGTAAAGTAAAGCTAAATTGGCTATTTGTCCTGGTATTCGAATACTCCTGGCACTGATCTCCTACATTAGGAATCATGTAAAACCATTTCAGAGTTCGGACTTTGAACCCCACAAGAAGTCTCCACCAGACGACTCAGTGTTCGTTTTCAAAACCAAGTGAAGGACAGTATCCCATACTCGTCTGGAAAGACGCCCCCTTGTGGAGGAGGAGGACCTGGAGCCGGAAACCCCCTCTTGTCTGACCACTCTGTACCCGGGCAGTTGGCACACAGCCAGTCACGGAAGGATCCTCTGGGATCGCCTGGGATCGGGGAGCTCCGGGATCAGCCAGCTCT